TATAGGCTTGGTTTCCCCCTGCACTTCAGACTAGCTGTCTGACCTTGCTTTAGGAACTTAACCTCTTGAAGCTTCTTACCTTATCTGTAAAATGGAAATAGTAAGATTATCTTTCTCATAAAGAATAGCAGGAAAAAAAATGAAGTAAATAAATACTTATGACCGAGATATTATGTCTTTCATAAAGTTATCCACTTTCAGTATTTGTATGATTAAGATAACTATGAAGATTGTGTGGCAAGCTGTGGTGACCTGTCTGTGGTAAATGATGAAAACAGAATAGAAGAATAGAAAATTCCATCTCTGTTTGCATTTTGTATGGAGTTTGTGTCTGCCCAGACTGAAGACAGATCTGTCAGGGTGATGGCACCACAGGAAATTCTTCACCCTTTATGTTATTAGGAGTTCTGGTAGCATAGTGCCCAAGGCACTTGACTGCTAACCAGAAGGCTGGCAGTTCAAACCCAGCAGCCACTCCTCGGAAGGAATGTTGGGCAATCTACTTTCATAGTGAGCCCACCTCAGAAACCCAAGGAGGGGTCGCTACAAGTTGGATCTGACTCGATGGCAGTGAGTTTGGTTTTTTGGTTTTATGCTATTAATATTAACACGTCTTCAGCAAAAAACATAATTAAAATTTTAGAAAAAAATAAGGTTCTATTTTAAATAATATAATGTACAAGAGCATTGAATAGAGAGTGAGTGACCGTGGACTGACTTTTGTTCCACAGTTTTGTTTTTTTGGTTTTTGTATTATTTTTTAATTGTTGGAAAATTGTAAATAACATATTTGCCAATTCAACATTTTCCACATGTTCAATTCAGTGACGGCAAATCCATTAATCACGTTACATAAATATCACCAAGTATCTGTTGCCAGAGTTTCCATCACCATAAACAGAAACCCATTGCTTCCTAAATGATTTCCCATTTTCCCCTCCCTCCAAGCCCTGGGAACCCTATTACACTCTGTATGCATTTACCTATTCTTGGTATTTCATATACGTGGGAGCATATAGTTTTGTCCTTTTGTGATTGTCTTACTTCATAAGCATACTATTTACAAGGTTCGTCCATGCTGTAGCGTTATATCAGAGCTTCATTTCTCCTAATGGCTGAGCGGCATCCTAATGCATGT